TAAAATCATGAATGAAAGAGGAGAGATCACAACCAACACCAAAGAAATACAATTATAAGAACATACTATGAGTAACTCTACACCAACAAATTTGACAATCTGGAAGAAATGGATGCATTCCTAGAGACATATAAACTACCACAATTGAACCAGGAAGAAATAGAAAACCTGAACAGACCCATAACCAGTAAGGAGTTTGAAACAGTCATCAAAAATCTCCAAACAAACAAGAGCCCAGGGCCAGGCAGCTTCCCAGGGGAATTCTAACAAACATTTAAAGAATTATTAATACCTAGTCTCCTGAAACTGTTCCAAAAAACAGAAATGGAAGGAAAACCTCCAAACTCATTTTATGAGGCCAGCATCACCTTGATCCCAAAACCAGACAAGGATCCCATCAAAAAAGAGAATTACAGACCAATATCCTTGATGAATACAGATGCGAAAATTCTCACCAAAATACTAGCCAATAGGATCTAACAGTACATTAAAAGGATTATTCACCATGACCAAGTGGGATTTATTCCTGGGCTGCAAGGTTGGTTCAACATCCACAAATCAATCAATGTGATACAATACATTAATAAAAGAAAGAACAAGAACCATATGAAACTCTCAATAGACGCTGAAAAAGCATTTGACAAAGTACAGCATCCCTTCCTGATCAAAACTCTTCAAAGTATAGGGATAGAGGGCACATACCTCAATATTATCAAAGCCATCTATGAAAAACCCACCGCAAATATCATTCTCAATGGAGAAAAACTGAAAGCTTTTCCGCTAAGGTCAGGAACATGGCAGGGATGTCCATTATCACCACTGCTATTCAACATAGTACTAGAAAACCTAGCCTCAGCAATCAGACAACAAAAAGAAATTAAAGGCATCCAAATCAGCAAAGAAGAAATCAAACTATCACTCTTTGCGGATGATATGATACTATATGTGGAAAACCCAAAAGACTCCACTCCAAAACTGCTAGAACAGGAATTCAGTAAAGTGTCAGGTTGTAAAAGCAATGCACAGAAACCATTTCTCTACAACAACAACAAGACAGAAGAAAGAGAAATTAAGGAGTCAGTCCCATTTACAATTGCACCCAAAACCATAAGGTACTTAGGAATAAACCGAACCAAAGAGGCAAAGAATCTATACTCAGAAAATTATAAAGTACTCATGAAAGAAATTGAGGAAGACACAAAGAAATGGAAATGTTCCATGCTCCTGGATTGGAAGAACAAACATTGTGAAAATGTCTATGATACCTAAAGCAATCTACACTATTTAATGCAATCCCTATCAAAATCCCATCCACTCTTTTTCAAAGAAATGGAACAAATAATCCTAAAATTTATATGGAACAAGAAAAGACCTCGAATAGCCAAAGGAATATTGAAATAGAAAGCCAAAGTTGGTGGAATCACAATTCTGGAGTTCAAGCTCTATTACAAAGCTATCATCATCAAGACAGTATGGTACTGGCACAAAAACAGACACATAGATCAATGGAACAGAATAGAGAGCCCAGAAATAGACCCTTAACTCTATGGTCAACTAATCTTCGACAAAGAGGGTAAGAATGTCCAATGGAAAAAAGACAGCCTCTTCAATAAATGGTGTTGGGAAAATTGGACAGCCACATGCAGAAAAATGAAATTGGACGATTTCCTTACACAAAAATAGACTCAAAATGGATGAAGGGCCTCAATGTGAGAAAGGAATCCATCAAAATCCTTGAGGAGAACACAGACAGCAACCTCTTTGACCTCAGCCGCAGCAACTTCTTCCTAGGAACATTGCCAAAGGCAAGGGAAGCGAGGGCAAAAATGAACTATTGGGATTTCATCAAGATCAAAAGCTTTTGCACAGCAGAGGAAACAGTTAACAAAACCAAAAGACAACTGACAGAATGGGAGAAGATATTTGCAAACGACATATCAGATAAAGGGCTAGTGTCCAAAATCTATAAAGAACTTATCAAACTCAACACCCAAAGAACAAATAATCCAATCAAGAAATGGGCAGAGGACATGAACAGACATTTCTGCAAAGAAGACATCCAGATGGCCAACAGACACATGAAAAAGTGCTCCACATCACTCAGCATCAGGGAAATACAGATCAAAACCACAATGAGATACCACCTCATGCCAGTCAGAATGGCTAAAATTAACAAATCAGGAAATGACAGATGCTAGTGAGGATGTGGAGAAAGGGGAACCCTCCTACACTGTTGGTGGGAATGCAAGCTGTTGCAACTACTCTGGAAAACAGCATGGAGGTTCCTCAAAAAGTTTAAAATAGAGCTACCCTATGACCTAGCATTCGCACTACTGGGTATATACCCTAAAGATAGAAACGTAGTGATCCGAAGGGGCACGTGCACCCGAATGTTTATAGCAGCAATGTCTACAATAGCCAAACTATGGAAAGAACCTAGATGTCCATCAACAGACGAATGGATAAAGAAGATGTGGTATATATATACAAGGGAATACTATGCAGCCATCAAAAGAAATGAAATCTTGCCATTTGCGACAACGTGGATGGAATTAGAGGGTATCATGCTTAGTGAAATAAGTCAATCAGAAAAAGACAACAATCATATGATCTCCCTGATATGAGGAAGTGGAGATGCACCATGGGGGTTTGGGGGGTAGGAAAAGAATAAATGAAAGAAGATGGGATCGGGAGGGAGACAAACCATAAATGACTCTTAATCTCACAAAACAAACTGAGGGTTGCTGTGGGGAGGGGGGTTGGGAGAGGGGGGTGGGGTTATGGACACTGGGGAGGATATGTGCTATGGTGAGTGCTGTGAAGTGTGTAAACCTGGCGATTCACAGACCTGTACCCCTCGGGATAAAAAGACATTATATGCTTATTAAAAAATTAAAAAAACAAACAAAATTTAAATAAATTAAATAAATAAAAAAATTGATTAGTGTTTTTTTTCCCTCACATTTTACATGATTAATTACAGATGATTAAAAAAAAAGAATACTGTGGGCCACCTGGGTGGCCCAGTTGGTTAAACATCTGACTCTTGGTTTTGGCTCAGGTCGTGATCTCATAGTCTTGGGATAGAGCCCTACGTTAGGCTCCACATTCAGGACAGAGTCATTTTGAGATTCTCTCTCCCTCTCCCTCTGCCCCTCCTCCTCTCTCTCTTTAAAATAAATAAATCTTGGGGCACCTGGGTGGCTTTGTCATTAAGCGTCTGCCTTCAGCTCAGGTCATGATCCTAGAGTCCTGGGATGGAGCCCCACATCCGGCTCCTTGCTTGGTAGGGAACCTGCTTCTCTCTCTTCCAATCCCCTGCTTGTGTTCCCTCTCTTGTTGTATCTCTCTCTGTCAAATAAATAAAATCTTTGAAAAAATTAATTAAATTAAATAAATAAATCTTTAGAAAAAAGAATATTGTGGATTAAATAAAAATTTTAGATTTTATGAAGTCGGGGGGAGGAAATAAAGGAGAAATAAAATATTTGCACTAACAAAATAGGAAATACAAACACCAAATAAGTGTGAGAAAGTTCTCAGATTGACTTATAATGAGATATATGCCGTATGACTATACAGTTACCAAAGGGTGGTAAGGGTGTGAAAAAATCTCCATGACTGCTAGTAATCATGTAAATTGTACTTAAAGTTTGAAAAACTGTTTGATATTATCTGGAAAGGCTGAAAACAAATATACTCTGTGATCTTGCAAGTTCATTTCTGTGTATAATCAACAGGGGAAGGTTGAGCACCAGAATATAAGCACAAAAACATTTATGATAGCTGAATTCAGAAACAATAAAATCTGGGACTAATATCAACATCCATTAATAATAAATGGGGAAAAATTGTGATATCTTCATATGATTGCATACTATAAAGCAGTTCAAATAAATAAATTGCATATACATATAAGAAAGTGGATGATTTTTATAAACTTGATGAGAAAATGATATGCAAAAGAATGCATGCAGTATAATTCTAATTACATAAACTTTAAAAGCAGATCAAATTAAACTTTTTTGAAATACATAGACAGTGAAACCATTTTTAATAAGTGCCATGAAAATGAAAAATATTAGTGACCACAGATGGGAATGTGAAAAGTGGGTTGGGCTTTTGATCTTGGTAATGTTAAACTTCTTTACCTGAGCAGTGATAATGCAGGTGATCACTTTTCATTTAATAAATTTATAGTACATGGCTGTTTTATACACTTTTCTGTGTGAGATATAGTTCACTCATTAGAAAATACTGAATACAGAAAGAAAGGGAGTGTAATTTATCAAAATTTATTATGAACAAAAAAATGAATCTTTGCTCCCTTGAGATTTGGGAATAACAGGTTTTTCCCTCCCTCCTTTCTCTTCCTTCCTTTTTCCTTTCCTCTATTTTTCTTGAATACGACACAATAAAATAAAATTTTATGCTGCTGGGAATGATCGTGTAGTTTGGGCAAAAGTGATGCAAAAGAAAGGAAGGGAAGGGATCATAGCAGAAGCTAAGTTCATGAGAGTGGATGGGATCCAGAGGACAAGTAGAAGGGATCTATTGATAGGGTTGGGAGACTCTTCTTTCTTACTAGATAAAAGAATGAGATTTTGTAGAAAGTTTGGGTTGAAGTTGTAGATTTGGTGGTGAGAATTAGAATTTTTCTTCAATGGGAGGAGTTAGGCTCTTCCCTAAGATGACACTAGAAGAACCATGACCAGCCTGCATTATCAATGATTCCAAGCAAATGGCCCCGGTCCCAGGACAACACTCACCATGGTTCTGTCCCACCAGGCGGTTCATCAAGTAGGATTTTCCTGTCCGAGACAGTCCTGCAATGGCCACCACCACCACAGGCTGAGATATATTGTTAAGAATCTCTAGTGCTTCTGGATTCACTGTCAGCTGCTCTTTCTGGTTTTCTACCAGGCAGATGGGGGCCGTCATGGTGGGTCCAGATGCCATGGTGACCTGTAATCCAGAAGAGCTGTTCAATATAACACAAGAGCCCAAAGTCCCCTCTGTTGGTCATACAAACTATACACCTATCAGCTTTCTGTTTATGGAATATAGACACCATTTCTAAGGGTAAATTATGCACCCTAGTTAGTGTGTCAAAGCTTGAGACAGAAGCCTTTCATCTCTTATTAATCTTAAAATGAATCTTAAAATAACCATATACAGGAGATGTATAAAATGAATATAACAAAGAAAGCAAAGGATGGAGATGGAGACCTGAGAAAACCAGTATGTTGGGGGTAAGGCAGAATGAAACATAAAGATAGATGAGAAGAGTAGTCAGAAGAGTTTCTAAGAGTTCCAGGACAATATGGTGGCTCATCAGTTCTGCAAATATTTATTGAGTGCAGCTGTGCTGTACTGTTCTAGGTGCTCAGTATCCAGAAGTGAACAAGTGGCTGAAACTCTTGCCTCGTGGAGTTCTAGACTAGTAAGGACAGTCAGGTAATCAACAAAACAAATGAGCGAAGATACGTGTTAGATGATAGTGAGTGGTCTGGAGAAAAGTAAGCAGGGAATGAAATACACAGCAATGGATAGGGGTTGGAATTGGAATTGGAATTGGAATTGGAATGGGGGTGGAATTATATACAGAATATTCCAAGAAAGAGACAAAATGAAGGTAATCAGTGTCTGTGATGAGGACAGATTTCATGAAAGGGCAGTAACATGAAGCAGATTGGTTGGGGGAGTGAGCGTAAAAGAAGGGAGAAGAAATAATAATGCAGCTTGTCTCAACATGCAAGATCTCTATACATTGTGCTTAAAGAAATATATGGGTCCAGGATTCATTCATGTAACTGGAAAATATTTCTCATTTATAAGTTTACAACAAAGAGAACCAGTTGTAAAGATGTTTAAGGATCTTCCCGGATCTGACAGAGTCCCACGTCTGAGCTAGATTCTGCCTTGGTTGTTTTCGTCTAAATGAATGGAACATTCCATCATACCAAAAGATAGAGATCTGCCAAAGAACATTTGCTGTGCCTTTAGTCCAAGATAATGCTTAGTAACATTCACGTGTCCCCACACTGCTTCCAGCCCTCTGCCTTAGGTGGGGTTACTTGAATAGTCATTCAAGCAGTATGGGACTCAAAGTGGTAGGAGCTCTCATGTACAAAGGTACCCCTATGAGGGCATTCCCACAAGTAAATCAATGCTCATTGGGCACAATTCAGCACGTCCTTCAAGAGAGAGAACTGAACTCAGTGCTCTAGATAATATAATCCTGTATATTTGGGGACAGTTGGTGATACACAATTACAATTTTCTTAGCTGGTTTGAGACACTAATTGAAATATCAGTCTGTAATCAAGCATGATTTCTGGATAAAGAATGCCTCATTACATAACTTTTCAATATTATATTTGCTTTTCACATTTTGTGGGAATATAAAATATTGTCCATTTGTTTCTTCTGAGAAACAAAGATGATTAACTACATGGCAAATACGCATACATTTTCAGGCACACAAAAGGGATTTGTCAAAGGTGGTAGTAAGAGACTGGGAAATGTAGAGCAGAATTAATTTAGAGCGAGAGCAAAGAGATAAGATTGAGTGAGACAGAGAGAGAAAGATTGAAGATCCTGGTGAGACAGGGATGACTGACAGAGACAGGATCATACTCTGTGTTTGGAGCCCAACTGCCAGGGCACGAATACTGGATCCATCTTTACAAGCTGTGGGACTCCTGGAGAGATATCTCTCTGGGCCTCGGTTTTTTTCATCTGTGAAATGGGAATTCTTATAGTAACTAAATTGTAGGGCCAGTAGAATAAAAACATCCCAGAATACATACATACATACATACAGAACATTTAAAATTATATTTGATACCTAATAAATGCTATGCAAGTATTGCTTAAAAATAAGTATCTAAGCAGCACGTGGGTGGCTCAGTGGGTTAAGCGTCTGCCTTTGGCTCAGTTCATGATCTCAGGGTGAAATTCCAGAAGGCAAAAAATTGGTTTGGGAAAAATGGTGACAATTCTTTCCCACAAATAAAAGCTGGTGTCAAGGAGACAATGATTACTGCAAGCAAATTGTCCCTTGAGAAGCCAGAGTTGGCAGAAGCCGAACCAGCATGAACCACCGACTAGAAGGGTATTACAATGTCAGGTAGGGGCAAAAGAGAGACATGACCAGATGTTAGCACTGATTTGGGAGGGAAAATGTTGTGGTTCAACACTTAAGAGTTCTAATCATTTACTGCCTGGGAGACCTTGAAAAAGGAACCTACCTCTGTAAATCTTGACTTTCTTATCAGTGTTACGGGTTAAAAAAAAAAAAAAAAAGTAATTCCTGCTTAATCCATTACCGTACAGGGCAATAACAAAAACTTCCCAATACATTAAATTTTCCACAGTTAATGTACTGTTTCTATAATGAGCCTGTTAAACTATGGAGTATTGAAGCAACAAGTTCTGTAAACGGGGAATACCAAGAAATAATAAGGTAACTAAAATAGTTTTTCTTAAAAAAAAATCAATCTGATTCTTAACAGACTTATGTGCAATTTCTCTTCTATGGATGGGTGGGAGAAGAGATTAGAAGTAAAACATGAGCTTTGTAATACTGTGTGAGGAGGAAATGTAGAGTTCTCATAATTAATATTTTGAAAAGTTTTGGGGAAGAGATGATATTACAAAATGATTTAAAAAATTTTTTTCATGCAAAGCAAGAAGCTTTATCTCCAAAATAAACAAGTAGAATGAGATAGTTCTATTCTATACAGATAAATGATCATTGGTTTCCTAAGGTACTGTCTGTACGAGTTAACTGGACTGATGGTTAAATGTTCAAAACCTATATTTTTAATAAATACGGCCAGTTATTATTTGTGGGGATTGTGCATTTGGAAACAGTGTATGATGAACAAGCCATATAGTTCCGTCACACAGTTATTTTTAACAGTTGATTAACAATCGATTAGGAAGAATGCCAATGAATTATTCCATGTAATATAGCTTTGTAGTATTTTCAGAATATTGGACGTTATTAATAAAAGAACAATCGACAATCCAAATTTTAGATTCCAATTGTCTCTAAGGTAAGGATCATCTTTTTGTTTTTCCAAAGCTCAGCAGGGCGCAGGCAGGACCTGTCTGAGGGGGAAGGGCGTTGGGAAGTGGAAGGAGCGACCCGACTCTACGCAGGGCCTCTGCGACATGACCGGGGGTCTGGGGTTTGGTTCTTCAGTCTGAGAAGGGGCTTCATCTCCCTTTCTGTGGGTGCGGTGGGATGCACTCCTTCCGTGCAGGGCTTTTTATGCACACCTGGGGGGGACGCCAGAGGAGGAGCCACGCATTCCGGGGACACGGTACGTGCGCGCCGTGGCTTTGCCGCCAAAGCAAAGCGCCCCAAAAGGCACACACCAGCTAGCACCCTCCCGGTTCTTTTGCTGTCTTTGCGACCTGCCAGCGTGGAGTCTGCGTTTGGGAATTTGTTGTTGCTGTTAGTTAGCGGCTATATGCACGGAAGATCAAGGTAAGCAGCGAACTTACCTAGGGCGGGCGCTGCAGTCAGGAGACACGTTCTCAGCTGCCCTCGCCTATCCTTTCGCGCTCCCGCGTCTGGCTTCTACGGAGAGGGTCTGTTCTCTTTAGAACTTAAAGCAAACCGGATATTACAGCCATGCTTTTCATGAAGGTTCGGGATGGAGACCGAAATCGAAATGAGAGGCATTATTCCTGTTCCATCTATGTGGATTTTCACTTCTAGCCTTCAGGATACCTGTGTGAATGAGGCGAAGTTGGACATCTTTGGTTCTCCCGCACCACTTCCTCCTGCACAGCTGGCTTAGGTTTCCTTGGCACCCCCAATAAATACGGAGCAGTGGGACTGAATGTGAGCAAAGTAGGTTGAGAATATTTGAACAACCTTTTCTCTGGGGTACTTTGTCAGGGAGAGGTTTTTGTTTGTCTGTTTTAAGTTTTTACTTGGTTACATGTTCTCTCACTGCCTTTTTTTTTTTTTTTATTAAAAAAAGCGCCCTTCTTGGTATTACATAAGTATTTTAAAAATAACAATAAAATGCATATGTATACATATAAAATTAGGGGATATGTATATATAATTTTGAAATTATTATTTTATAGTTCAGAAATAATCACTATTATTTTAAGTCACAGTTTATCCATTTTTTTTCTCCCTAGGGTGGATGCAGATTTTGGGAAACTGAAGCTTATACATTTTGAGGGTTCATTCAAATACAAAGAAAATTTCACAAGTAGATATTTATTTAAAATGAGCAAAGAAATAGGAACAAAAAAATGTCAAAACCTAACATGCTACAAAAATGTTTTTCTATTATTTTTCTTCTATTACGGTACTCTCTTTCGTATCTGAACTTTAGTATGAGCAATAACTCTGGAAAAATAACAAAAAATATGAATTTAAGGCATTCCATGGTATTGAGCTACAGAACTGGACTATGTAATCAATTACTCTTTTACTACAATGTGTTGCCTTCTGGATGGATAGATAGGAGCTGTGCCATGGAATCTCTATGGCCTTTGGTTCATTGGCTGCTTTCCTCTGCCGAAAATGTTCTGAGTGAACTGAAAAGACAGTGAGAATATTAATTACATTTTTGTTAATATGTTTGTGTGAAATTGGCTCTTTGAAAATAACATGGTAAAAACTAAGTACTAAGAGATATTAGAGATTCATTATTTATAATACTATTAAAAACAATTCCTTAAAACCAGACTTAAGAAAGCTGTTACATGGAATGTGGTATCAGACAACAAATTTCTAATTGTCAATTTTAAAGAGACCCATTTCCTTTGATATGTGATGGAATGCAAGCAATAACATTTATTTTTAATTGTGGTAAAATATATATAACATAATTATCTTAACTTTTTAAGTATACAGTACAGTGTTAAGGATATTCACACTGTTGTGCGTTCACCAGAACTCTTTTCATCTTGCAGAACTGAAATCCTATACCCAATAAATAGTAATTACCAGTTTTCCTCTCTCTCAGTCCCTGGCAGTCACCAGTCTACATTTTCTTTCTATGAACTTGACTACTCTAGCTATCCTGTGTAAGTGGAATTACAGATTTTGTCTTTTTGTGATTGGTTTATTTCACTAAGTCTTATAATCCATATACACAAGATGTCTTTCCATTTATTCTTATCTTCTTTAATTTACCCTTGTTTTATTTATGAGAGAGAAAAAGAGAGAAAGGGGGAGAGAGTGAGAGAGAGCATAAGCAGGGTAAGGGCAGAGGGAGAGGGAGAAGCAGACTCTCCAGGAAGCAGGGAGCCTGATATGGGGCTTGATTCTAGGACCCTGGGATCATGACATGAGCCAAAGGCAGACACTTAGCCAACTGAGCCACCCAGACACCCCATGTCTTCCTTAATTTCTTTCAGCAATGTTTTGTAGTTTTTGAATGTATAAGCCTTTAGTTTCCTTGTTTAAGTTTATTCCTAAGAATTTATTGTTTTTGGTGCTATTTAAAAAAAAAGATTTATTAATTTGAGAGAGAGAGAGAGAGAGAGAGAGAGTATGAGCAGAGGGGAGGCAGAGAGAGAAAGAAGCAGACTCCCTGCTGAGCAGAGAGCCCAATGCAGGGTTTGATCCCAGAACTCTGAGATCACCACCTGAGCCAAGGCAGACACTTAACAGACTGAGCCACCCAGGTGCCCCTGTTTTTGGTACTATTGTAAATGGAATTGGTTTCTTAACTTCCTTTATGATTTGTTTATTGTAAGCTTATAAAAATGCAACTGATTTTGAGTATTAATTTTATATCCTGCAACTTTGCTGAATTCATTAATTATAACTTTTTTGTATGTGAACATTTAGGGTTTTCTGCATATAAGATTATATTGTTTTCAAATAGGGATAATTTTATCTCCTCCTTTCCAGTTTTTTTTCTAGCTCCATTCCACTGTGAAGGATAGGTAGCATGATTTCAATAATTTGAATGTATTAAGACTTATTTTGTGTCCTAACATTAAGTCTACCCTGGACAATATTCCATTTGTACTTGAGAAAACTGTGTATTCTGCTGTTGGGTGTAGAGTTTTGTATATGCTTGTTAGGTCCAGTTGGCTTCTAATGTTGCTCAAGTCCTCTTTCCTTATTGATCTTCTGTCTGGTAACTGTATCCATTCTTGGAAAGTGAGGTATTGATTTTCCTATTGTTATGTAAATGTGTCTGTTTCTTCCTTCAATTCTATCAATGCTTGCTTCATATATTTAGGAGCTCTGATGTTGGGTACATATATATTTACAAATGTTTTATCTTCTTGAGGTATTGATCTCAATACCATAATATAATGACCTTTTTTTTTTGTCTCTTGTAGTCTATTAAAGTCTACTTTGTATGATATTAGTATTTATCCTGCTTTCTTGTCTCTGCTCATCTCCAAAGACGTATTGATGGAATTTCCATAAATGTCGTAGGCTTCTTGATCCAGCACAACAAATCTAGAGAACCAGATGTGAATGTGAACAAAATAGTGGTAGGATGAGACTATCTCAACAGCCTTTTGTCAAGAAGGAAGGATTTTTTTTTTTTAATTGCTTTACTTAGTCATTCCTTTTCTCTTCCCTCCTTTTTGGGAAGAACTTTTATTATTAACGTGTTTTTTTTTCAATAACAAAAAAACATATTTATGTGTGTATATATAAGATCCCTAATTTTATAGTCCAGAGATATTCATTAATATTTTTTCCATTGTCTTCCAGTTTTCTTCTCTGCTTATACTAGGATGGATTTGGAGGGTTTTTTTTGGGGGGGGGGTACCAGGTAAAGCAAAAAAGTACAAAATTTAGAGCTTAATGGTCTAACTCAAAAGTATATGCAACAGTAACACAGATGGATGTCTTTAAGTCCTGAAATTGAACATAGTAGCTTCAAAACTTAAACCCTAGCTGGGCTAAGTATAGGGGACATGCATATCTTGAAAAAAAAAAAGGTTTTATAGAAGAAAAGGTGAACACATGACTCAAGTCCTATGAAGACAATCCTTCAGCCAACTTGGTTAAAATCTTCTCTCTGTCTCTTTTGTTTTTGTTCATGAGGAGGCTATAAAAACGCCAAGTCCTGAGATGAAGAATTTAAAGCTAGTAATTTTTGCCCAAAAGATCTAAAAAATTATTTTTATTTATTATTTGTACTTAATATTTTATATATTTTAAATTTAACATTTATATTTTACAATTTTATTTATTTACAATTTTATATATAAAGTATGTATTACCTTAAAAATGGTAAGGTTATTATTATTTTATAATGTAAGAAAATAAATTTGGAGTTTTTCTTTTAACTTCCCAGGTTTGTAATTGCTATGGAAAAAATCTCTTAAAGTTTAAATTTAAAATTATAGACAAGTCATAATGAGAGTATAATATTGGTAATGAAAGAATGGTTGAATAGTTTCCTAAATTTATTTATGGAATTTATGGAAATAAATGAGACAATTTAGCTAAAATGAAGTTTTTCATGTTATACTACTTTAACTCCAAAAATAATGATGTTATTTTAGAAACTGTTTATTTGATGGAAATTCTCAGACAGGAAGAGTCTCATTTTAACATCCTACTATACAACATTTGGTTACAAAGCTATAGATACTCTAGCTCTTCTGAAGGGACACAAACTTAAAGCAGTTTCTGTTTAAAAAATCTATTTAAGGCAATTCTGCCACTGAGAAAAATGTGTGTACAAAGGAAACAAGATTCACATGCTTAAAGAATTCTAGAATCAGAGAGGGTCAGCATGGTGATTTAACTATAAAAATCAACCCGAACTAAAAGCATGTTGGATGTTGTTGAGCATTGAAAAAACCACAGCTTTTAAGTCTTTAATCCACTTTTTAAGAGATTTTATTTCTTTTTTTGAGAGAGAGAGAAATTAAGAGAGAGTGCAAGTAGGGGGGAAGGGCAGAGGAAGAAGCAGTCTTCCCCTGAGCAGGGAGCCGGATGTGGGGCTCCATGTGGGGCTCTATCCCAGGACCCTGGCATCACGACCTGAGCTGAAGGCAGAAGCTTAACTAACTGAGCCACCCAGGTGCCCCAGTCTTTCATCCATTTTCAGTTTATTTTTGCATATGATGTGAGGTAAGTGTCCAATTTCCTCCTTCTGTATGTGGATATCCAGTTTTCAGAGGCTATCCTTTCCCTATTGTGTATTCTTGCTACTTTTGTTGAAGATCAGTTGGCCTTAGATGTGTTTTTTTCTAGCCTCCATATTCCATTACATTAGCCTAAATGTTGGCTTTTATGCCAGTATATACTGTTCCTATTATTGCAGATTCTTAATATATTTTGAAATCAGGAGATGTGATGCTGTTAGCTTAGTTCTTGCTCAAGATTGCTTTGATTATTCAGGGTCTTTTGTGACTCTACACAGGTTTTAGGGTGATTTTTCTATTTCTGCACAGAATACCACCGGAATTTGCATAGGTATTGCTTTGAATATGTAGATCACTTTGGGTAGTATGGACCTTTTCACAATATTAATTCTTCTAATCCCTGAATGTGAGATGTCTTCCCATTTGTGTCTTCTTTATTTTCCTTCATCACTGATTTATAAGTTTCAGTGTACAAATCTTTTACCTCTTGGGCAAAATTTATTTCTCAGTATTTTATTATTTTT